GCAGAGGCTCCAGTGTAAATAAACTGCCAAAGTCTTAAACATCCACTTGTTGTTCAGATAAAAAGAGGGGAAAAGTCTTACCCGATGGAAGAATTTCTCTAGCCTGTCTTTCAGAACTCGTACGCCTCCATCCTCCATGGCTTTTCGGAATGTGCCATTAAAAAGCTAATCATTATTTTCAAGAGAAAAAAATTAATGGGGTGATTAAGTTATCACTTAATCCACACTTTGTTTTTCAAGATATAAACATTTAACCAAGAAAATGTAATGTTGGTCCTGTAATGCCAGCTTCCGGGATTCAAAGGAAATAATACACTTCATTATTTTAGGAATAATGGTTCCATAGCACTTAGGAGTCTATTTGCAGAAGGCTTCCAGCAGATGACAAACACTGTATATTTCTGATTGCTAATGCGTGACATCTTTCCCCCTTAACTAACGTATTGCAAAAATAATGCACGTATGAGAGTTAACAGTACATTATTTTATTCATGAATTCATTCCCTTTGCAGCCTGTTGCAATCCACAGTGATTATCACTACTTGGGAAAAGGCATTTTTCCCCCAACTGCCAGAGCAATTGGCAACATAAGCTTGCCGTTTTGAATGAGCTAGGTGGCCGCAAAACCAGGAAGGGAAGACATCAGACCATATAAGCAGAGGATGAAGCATTAGGAATTTAAAAGTTCTTCAAGGCTTATTCTCCTAGTGTCAAACCGTGGTTCAAACCAAGAGCCAACCAACTCTGCAAAAGGCTGAACCTGCACAAGAAACTCTGGAGTTTGTGCCTATCATCCTCTGTTTTTGAATGGAAAGCAGTTTGGAATACAGTGTTAGGACAGCACCCAATTGCTTAGAAAGCATCTCTTTTTCTTCTAGCCAGCTGCACCTTCTCAAACTTTGGAGGATGAATATAATGGACTCTTATAAAAAAAAAATCATGTCTGATTCAGACAACAGCCAGCTAATTATAACATGTTCAAAAAAACCCAACAACCCCAAAAGATCAGTCTGACATTTTAGAGAAAACTAAGTGACCGCTGTCATTTGTCTTGCCAAAATAATCCCTATTTTGTCCTCTCCTCCTTTTTCTTTCTACAACATACTAGATTATAAGCTCTTCTTTTAATCTGCATGCTGTCAGGAGGGCACAAATATAAGCAGTTTGGGACAAGAAGTCTTATGAAAGAAATGTGCTACTGAATAAGTATCTGTAAATATTCGGCCCTGAAGACATATTTCTGCTGCCCACGCTTTGGAAAAACTGGAGCGAAGTATTAGTTCAATTTTACTTTAGGGAAGTAAAGGCTGTTTTACCCACTCTAGCCTAAGTAACAAAAAGTATAGTAAAACTGACCTTGTACATGTTATAACATTGCTGTAACACCGAACTATAAACTTTGTCCTGTAAGATATTCAGAATCAAGGAGTTATTACAAGAATGACACAAAGACAAATATTTTGAACAGAGATGCATTCGGTTACATAGGCTTATTTTCCAAAAAAACCAAATATTTTGCTGATCAGCACATTCCCAGCAATCAATAAATGAGGAGTCTTCTTTGACATTTTGTACGTGTAGGTGAGTTCCCCAGTCTCTTTCTCAAACCGTATGCCAAAGCGAAAAAAGTCGCTCCAAGGGATTCCAAATTGCACCGTTAGATACCCGCTGTTTTGAAAAGAAACCTTTCTAGGGAAAATAAGTTGTTTATTTATTTTATATATTTTATATATCAAACTTGTCACTGCCCATCTCGTTAAAAAGCGACTCTGGGCAGTTTACAGAAAAGATAAAATTAATTAAAAATACAATATAAGA